ATTGCTGCTGCTCCTCGGCTTCAACCCCTTCATCCTCTGCAGCTTTCACAAGCTTGAATTCTGCTGGCAGGGGAGTTGCAACCTTGCGCTCATTCTCAATTCCGTACTTCTCCCCAAGCTCCTTGATGAACTTCTCCTGGTGCAGCTTCAACCACCTGTGATCCAGATCCCTCTCCACGTGCATCCCGAGGTAGTACTTTACCTCCCCAAGGTTCTTGCACTTGAAGTTCTCCATCAGCTGCTGCTGCACCTTCTGGATCTCCTTCATGCTGCTGCTAAAGAGAAGAATGTCGTCCACATAGACCAGAAACAGCACCAGCTTCTCCCCCTCCCCCTTGAGAAAGAGGCTCTCATCACAGCTGCTGGTCCTGAATCCCATCTCCTCTAAAACAGCTGCCAACTTCTGGTACCAGCAGCGTGGCGCCTGCTTCAAGCCGTAGATGGACTTTTTCAGCTTGCACACCCTGCCCGTACCATCCTCATACCCAGGCGGCTGCGTCATGAACACCTCCTCCTCTAAAATCCCATTGAGGAATGCCGTTGATATATCCATCTGGATAATGAACTTCCCACCAACGGCTGCATCTGCCAACAAGACACGAAGGGCAGGGGGTTTGGCAGTGGGAGCAAAGATCTCATTGAAGTCCCGCTTCTCCTTCTGCATAAACCCCTTAGCCACCAACGTACTCTTGTAGATGGTGACCTGCCCCTTGTCGTCAGTCTTGATCCTTAGCACCCACTTGCATTGTACCGCTTTCTTTCCCTCAGGCAGCACCACTAGTTCCCAAGTCCCATTCTCCAGCAGGCTCTGGTACTCAGCATCCCTGGAAGCCAGCCATTTGTCCCTATCTGGTCCAGCTAATGCCTCCTCCATGCTAGCTGGTTCCTCTGGTGCAGGGGCAAGAAAACAGTACGCAGGTTGATCCTCCTCATCCGGGTCATAGCCATGCGGTAGAACCAGCAATGCCTCCTCGGTCCCAAGCTGCTGCTCCGCTACATCAGCTCCTGCAGTCAGCTTCTTAGTAGCCATACGGGTACGTCCTGGCCTGGAGACGGGTGTCTCCCATCCCTTCATAATAACACCCTTCGGCTTCTTAGTTTTCCCCTGCTGCTGCTCTCCTCCCTCGGATCCAGCAGCTCCACTAGTGCTACCGCTAATCTCCACACCATCACCTCCACCAGCAGGTGCCTCCTGCACCTTCTCTTTATCACCACCCTCTGCAGCTGCCTCCTCTCCCTCCTCCCACACACTAGGAGTCAGGTCCAGCTGCATGGTAATCTGCTTCATCTGCTGGGACACCCTGGCCTCCGGCTGTTTCTCCCAGCTCCCATACATCATGCCCTCAACAAACTTCACATCCCTGCTGTCAAACAACACACCCTTGGAAGGCTCCCACAGCAGCCATCCCTTGCTTTCAGCAGCCAGCCCCAAATGTACACACCAGATTGCACTCGCCCCCAACTTACTGCGGTAGGTCTTGGGAACGTGGGCGACTGCCATGCAACCGAACACCCTCAGCATGTCCACCGGCGGCTTCCTCCCAAGCCACCTCTCCAACGGCACCCACGAGTCATCCCCAACCTTTGTGAGTACCCTGTTCCTAGCGACGGTAGCGTGCCGAACAGCATGGGGCCACATCAAGTTGCCCAGCCCAGATTCTATGAGCAGCGCCCTAGCTGTCTCCAGAATTGTCCGGTTCGCCCGTTCTGCTACACCGTTGGACTGTGGGGTGTAAGCCGTGGTCAGCTCCCTCTGGATGCCCTGCTTCTTGAGCCAGGTCGTCATCTCAGCTCCAAGGAACTCACCACCCCGATCTGTCCTAATCCGCTTCACCACACACTCCGCTTGCTTCTCCACGAACGGCAGCCAATCGTCCCGAATCGTGGAGGCGGCGTGATCTTTCTGCTTCAGCGGATACGCCCACATTAGCCTGCTCCAGTCATCCACTATGGTTAGGAAGTACCGCTCCCCCTTGTGCCCTTGCACCGGCAGCGGCCCCACCAAGTCCATGTGGACCAGCTCCAACGGCTTTTTGCTCCTGCCAGCCACACTATGGAAGGGGAAACGGGTGAACTTTGAAAGGAGGCAAATTTCACAGTTATCATCGGGTGGTTGTCCGTTCAGCTTTAAGCCCTTAACGGCTCCATCCTTCTCCAGCTGCTTCAGCAAAGGCATTGCCACATGCCCCAAACGTCGGTGTGCAGTTGCCCAATCTGTCTCCCCAGATCTGGCCGACACTTTCACACCAACCCCTCCAACGGCGTTGCACTCCCCCTGGGATGCAGACCCCTCTCCAGCCTGCCCCCCACCGTGCCACGCCAGCGCCGGCAGCTGCCACATAGATCTGTACACGTCCTTGCTCTCGTGCAGATCCCAAAGCACCCGATTGCCCAGCTTCCCCTTATAAGTGCGAGCCCCATCCGTGTTGGTGTTCACCCCAGCCTTGCCAAGCTTACGGAGGGAGATGAGGTTGGCCTTCAGGTCGGGGACGAGGAGAACGTCGTGCAGCACCACCGGCTTGCCATCCGCTCCCTTAAATGCAGCTCGTCCCGCACCAGCCACCTTCAACATGTGTCCAGAGGCAGAGCACACCTCATTAATCGGTGCAGCGCGTACGTCGTCCAGCAGGTCCTTGCGCGGCGTCATTGTCCAAGCGGCGCCTGTGTCCAACACCCAATAGTCCAGGGGATGCAGCTCTGCTCCAGCCTTAGCAGATGCGTCTCCTTGCTCCCCCTTGTCTCCCATATGGAAGAATTGGCCCGCGGTGCGCTCCTTCTTCTTCTCCGCACCGCCGTTGCCCTTCGGGTTGTTGTCGGACGAATCAGCGACCATGTTGGCGCCGTTTTTCTGGTTCCTCCGCGCGCCGCCATCCTGGTGACGATTCTGGGGGGTCCATCCATCGGGTTTCTTATAGCACAAAAACCAGGGGTGCCCTTCCTTCTCACAATACCAGCAACTCCCTTTCATTTTGCCACCAGCACCCGACTTGCCCCCACGTCCAGATTTCGCACCGCGACCCCAACCGGTACCTCCTTGTTGGTCGTTGGAGTCGTCGTCCTTCTTTGCACCGCGTCCAGCACCACCGAAGCCACGTCCTTTGCCACGTCGGCTCCCTTGCATCCCGTAGCCGCTGCTGCCGTCGTCTCCACCCCTCAGTTGGCGGCGACGGAAGTCCTCCTCCAGAATCTTCGTCCGCACCCACTCGAGCGTCCACAAGCTCTGGTTCTGCGGCAGGCTCAATCCGCTCGTAAATTGAAGCCACGATTCCGGCAGCAGCGAGAGCATCTTCAAGCACTTTGTTTGCTCCGGGTAGGTGATTCCCGCGGTCGCCAACTTCGCGTAGAGGTCGCGCAATTTGTCCAGGACAGGTTGCACCGGCTCTCCCTCGCTCAGGCGCAACGCGGACAGCTCCCTCTCCAGCATCAATGTTGCAACAACGGAGGTCGGGGCGTGCAGCTCCTTCAACACCGTCCACGCCTTCGGACCGCACTCAACCTCCGGCAGCAGGTGCATGACGTGGTGACGCTGGTTCAGCTCCAAACTCTGCGACATCAAGTAGTAGCCAGCCGAGGCGCGCTCGTCCCAATCTTCCTGAAGGGCGGGGTCACTCGGTCTAGGCTCCTCCCCAATCATTAGTTTCAGCAATCCGATTTGACGGAAATAAAGTTGCATTTTCCAGGCCCAATCATCATAGCCCTCACCATTGAACTTCTCGACGGTGAAGTTTTTCAGCACCTCCTTGATCAGCGAGCCCTGGCTTGTTCGCGCTCCCCTTGGCGCAGAAACACCAGAATCATGGCTGCCGCTACGATCTTGGGCTGAAGATTCACCAGCTACCGCCGAGGTGTTGCCCGCCATAGCTACCTATATCGAGGATCACTATAACGCAGCTCTGATACCAGCTTGTTGGTGTAAGGGCCTAATAAACTCAAGCTATTAAGACTTTATCACACTTAAAACCTCTCCTCGGGGTCACCTCCAAGGGTCCTTGGGTGCCTGGTACAAGACCAGCCCCTATCCTCGGGTCCGAGTTTGTAGAGAGAGGGATCAAGAGGGACTTAGTCAAAAACAGCAAGAGTACCTTGAACGTCGCGCAGCGTATCGTGCAGACCGTCGATCGGATTAAGCTGAGAATTTCCTATATCGAAGCTCACTCTAAGAGCTTTAAAATAAGCCAAGTTGCCTCGCGAAAAGTTCTGCCATTACGAAGTTATGGCTCGGACAGCGTTAGCCTAGCGTTGGAGTGCTAGCGTACTAGCGTTGACTCGGGTAGCATTCCGCCGTCGCACCGCGTAGACAAGAAATTCCAGCAAGGAAGGAATTCGCTTGAATCAATTTCACTATATTCAGGTACAAACAGAGAAGGAATAAATAGCTCTAGCTAGCAAGGACCTTGGGAATCAACCTGGGAACAACCAGGGATGATCCCAAATAATTCCAAGCAACAGAACCAACCTGGCTGGACAAAATAGCAGGTGATAGGTTGGTGAACAACCTCTGGTTCTGTTTTTCCAACCTGGGAAAACAACAACCAGGTTCAGGTCCTAAAAACAGAACCTGTTTTGTCTTTGCCCAACCAGCCAAATGCTGGTTCCGCTGGTTTCCCCTGGCCCTGTAGCATGCAGATACAGACAAACAACATCCAACCTTCACCTAAATTGTACCCCTATAGTGCCTGCCCTGCTACACTATAGTCAACCAAACAAAACAGTACAATTTCGAGTTGGATAGAACTGAATCTGCGCAATCAAGTAAGTTGAACCGCAAAGCTTCCATCTTGGGTTCCTTTGCGAGCTCGTCCTTTCTGCTTGTACTGTTCATAGCGCGTACAATGTTATGCCGAAGCGCACATTGTGCGAGTACCTGCAAATGCTTCAAGCGAAAATTGCGAAAGCAAACAAACACACAAACATACCATTCACACGCAAATGCATTCGCACACGCATACTCGTACAAACAGACGGCAGGATGTCGTGCAATGTGAATTTGCACCCAACACATGGCAGTCGCCCACGTCCCCAAGACCTACCGCAGTAAGTTGGGGGCGAGTGCAATCTGGTGTGTGCATTTGGGGCTGGCTGCTGAGAGCAAGGGATGGCTGCTGTGGGAACCCTCCAAGGGTGTGTTATTTGACAGCAGGGATGTGAAGTTTGTTGAGGGCATGATGTATGGGAGCTGGGAGAAACAGCCGGAGGCCAGGGTGTCCCAGCAGATGGAGCAGATTACCATGCAGCTGGACCTGACTCCTAGTGTGTGGGAGGAGGGAGAGGAGGCAGCTGCAGAGGGTGGTGATAAAGAGAAGGTGCAGGAGGCACCTGCTGGTGGAGGTGATGGTGTGGAGATTAGCGGTAGCACTAGTGGAGCTGCTGGATCCGAGGGAGGAGAGCAGCAGCAGGGGAAAACTAAGAAGCCGAAGGGTGTTATTATGAAGGGATGGGAGACACCCGTCTCCAGGCCAGGACGTACCCGTATGGCTACTAAGAAGCTGACTGCAGGAGCTGATGTAGCGGAGCAGCAGCTTGGGACCGAGGAGGCATTGCTGATTCTACCGCATGGCTATGACCCGGATGAGGAGGATGAGCCTGCGTACGATTTTCTTGCCCCTGCACCAGAGGAACCAGCTAGCATGGAGGAGGCATTAGCTGGACCAGATAGGGACAAATGGCTAGCTTCCAGGGATGCTGAATAGCAGAGCCTGCTGGAGAATGGGACTTGGGAACTAGTGGTGCTGCCTGAGGGAAAGAAAGCGGTACAATGCAAGTGGGTGCTAAGGATCAAGACTGACGACAAGGGGCAGGTCACCATCTACAAGAGTAGGTTGGTGGCTAAGGGGTTTATGCAGAAGGAGAAGCGGGACTTCAATGAGATCTTTGCTCCCACTGCCAAACCCCCTACCCTTCGTGTCTTGTTGGCAGATGCAGCCGTTAGTGGGAAGTTCATTATCCAGATGGACATATCAACGGCATTTCTCAACGGGATTTTAGAGGAGGAGGTGTTCATGACGCAGCCACCTGGGTATGAGGATGGTACGGGCAGGGTGTGCAAGCTGAAAAAGTCCATCTATGGCTTGAAGCAGGCGCCACGCTGCTGGTACCAGAAGTTGGCAGCTGTTTTAGAGGAGATGGGATTCAGGACCAGCAGCTGTGATGAGAGCCTTTTTCTCAAGGGGGAGGGGGAGAAGCTGGTGCTGTTTCTGGTCTATGTGGACGACATTCTTCTCTTTAGCAGCAGCATGAAGGAGGTCCAGAAGGTGCAGCAGCAGCTGATGGAGAACTTCAAGTGCAAGAACCTTGGGGAGGTAAAGTACTACCTCGGGATGCACGTGGAGAGGGATCTGGATCACAGGTGGTTGAAGCTGCACCAGGAGAAGTTCATCAAGGAGCTTGGGGAGAAGTATGGAATTGAGAATGAGCGCAAGGTTGCAACTCCCCTGCCAGCAGAATTCAAGCTTGTGAAAGCTGCAGAGGATGAAGGAGTTGAAGCCGAGGAGCAGCAGCAATTTCAGTCCTTGGTGGGCAGCCTCTTGTATGCAGCAGTTCACACGAGACCCGACATCTCTTTCTCGGTTGGGCAGCTGGCTAGGGTAGTGCAGAATCCATCAGAGGAGCAGGTGGATGCAGCTGAGCGTGTGGTGAAGTATCTGAACTCTCACCCAAGCATTGGAGTTCAATACTCCGCATCTGCACAGGTGAAGCAGAAAGGGGTTGAGGTGCTGAAAGAGAAGGGGGAGAGGCTTGGAGAAGGCAAGCTTTTTCTCACTTGCTTTACTGATGCTACGTGGGCCTCTGAGAAGGAGGATTCCTCATCTGTGGGAGGATACATCTGCGTAGTTGGGGGAGGACCGGTTAGTTGGAGGTCAAAGAAGCAGACGGAGACAGCACTCTCTTCCGTGGAGTCAGAGTACATGGCGATGTTCCATGGGGTGAAGGAGGTGATTTGGCTGAGGAGGTTGTTAGAGGAGATTGGCCAGGAGCAGAAGGTTGCTACGCCGCTGTTTTGTGATAGCAAGGGGGCTCTTGGGATGGCCAGGAACGCTGTGCTTCATGGGCTGAACAAGCACATGCGTATCAAGTGGCACTGGCTGCGTAAGGAGGTGAAGAGGGGGACGGTGAATCCGATCTACATCAAGACTCACCAGCAGCCAGCGGACTTCCTCACCAAGAGGCTTGCGGATGAGTCTCATTGGCGTTGTGTGCGCATGAGTGGAATGAGCATGAACTAGTATGGAATGATGGGGATGCAGCCGGCAGGCTGAGGGGGAGTGTGTTGGGTGCAAATTCACATTGCACGACATCCTGCCGTCTGTTTGTACGAGTATGCGTGTGCGAATGCATTTGCGTGTGAATGGTATGTTTGTGTGTTTGTTTGCTTTCGCAATTTTCGCTTGAAGCATTTGCAGGTACTCGCAAAATGTGCGCTTCGGCATAACATTGTACGCGCTATGAACAGTACAAGCAGAAAGGACGAGCTCGCAAAGGAACCCAAGATGGAAGCTTTGCGGTTCGGCTTACTTGATTGCGCAGATTCAGTTCTATCCAACTCGAAATTGTACTGTTTTGTTTGGTTGACTATAGTGTAGCAGGGCAGGCACTATAGGGGTACAATTTAGGTGAAGGTTGGATGTTGTTTGTCTGTATCTGCATGCTACAGGGCCAGGGGAAACCAGCGGAACCAGCATTTGGCTGGTTGGGCAAAGACAAAACAGGTTCTGTTTTTAGGACCTGAACCTGGTTGTTGTTTTCCCAGGTTGGAAAAACAGAACCAGAGGTTGTTCACCAACCTATCACCTGCTATTTTGTTCAGCCAGGTTGGTTCTGTTGCTTGGAATTATTTGGGATCATCCCTGGTTGTTCCCAGGTTGATTCCCAAGGTCCTTGCTAGCTAGAGCTATTTATTCCTTCTCTGTTTGTACCTGAACATAGTGAAATTGATTCAAGCGAATTCCTTCCTTGCTGGAATTTCTTTTCTACGCGGTGCGATGGCGGAACGCTACCCGAGTCAACGCTAGTACGCTAGCACTCCAACGCTAGGCTAACGCTGTCCGAGCCATAACTTCGTAATGGCAGAACTTTTCGCGATGCAACTTGGCTTATTTTAAAGCTCTTAGAGTGAGCTTCGATATAGGAAATTCTCAGCTTAATCCGATCGACGGTCTGCACGATACGCTGCGCGACGTTCAAGGTACTCTTGCTGTTTTGACTAAGTCCCTCTTGATCCCTCTCTCTACAAACTCGGACCCGAGGATAGGGGCTGGTCTTGTACCAGGCACCCAAGGACCCTTGGAGGTGACCCCGAGGAGAGGTTTTAAGTGTGATAAAGTCTTAATAGCTTGAGTTTATTAGGCCCTTACACCAACAACTTACCCATATGGTTGGTACCGAGACTAAGTGCGTTACCTACCGATATGGTTGGTACCGAGAGAAAGTACGTTACTTACCCATATGGTTGGTACCGAGAGTAAGTGCGTTTCTTAGCCATATGGTTGGTACCCAGAGTAAGTGCGTTACTTAGCCATATGGTTGGTACCATGAGTAAGTGCGTTACTTACCTATAAGGTTGGTATCGAGAGTAAGTGGGTTTCCTGCCCATATGGTTGGTACCGAAAGTAAGTGCGTTACTTACCCATATGGTTGGTACCAAGTGTTGGGTGCAAATTCACATTGCACGACATCCTGCCGTCTGATTGTACGAGTATGCGTATGCGAATGTATTTGCGTGTGAATGGTATGTTCGTGTGTTTGTTTGCTTTCGGAATTTTCGCTTGAAGCATTTGCAGGTACTCGCACAATGTGCGCTTCGGCATAACATTGTACGCGCTATGAACAGTACAAGCAGAAAGGACGAGCTCGCAAAGGAACCCAAGATGGAAGCTTTGTGGTTCGGCTTACTTGATTGCGCAGATTCAGTTCTATCCAACTCGAAAGTGTACTGTTTTGTTTGGTTGACTATAGTGTAGCAGGGCAGGCACTATAGGGGTACAATTTAGGTGAAGGTTGGATGTTGTTTGTCTGTATCTGCATGCTACAGGGCCAGGGGAAACCAGCGGAACCAGCATTTGGCTGGTTGGGCAAAGACAAAACAGGTTCTATTTTTAGGACCTGAACCTGGTTGTTGTTTTCCCAGGTTGGAAAAACAGAACCAGAGGTTGTTCACCAACCTACCACCTGCTATTTTGTCCAGCCAGGTTGGTTCTGTTGCTTGGAATTATTTGGGATGATCCCTGGTTGTTCTCAGGTTCATTCCCAAGGTCCTTGCTAGCTAGAACTATTTATTCCTTCTCTGTTTGTACCTGGATATAGTAAAAATTGATTCAAGCGAATTCCTTCCTTGCTGGAATTTCGTTTCCACGCGATGCGACGGCGGAATGCTACCCGAGTCAACGCTAGTATGCTAGCACTCCAACGCTAGGCTAACGCTTTCCGAGCCATAACTTCGTAATGGCAGAACTTTTCGCGAGGCAACTTGGCTTATTTTAAAGCGCTTGGAGTGAGCTTCGATATAGCAAAATCTCAGCTTAATCCGGTCGACGGTCTGCACGATACGCTGCGCGACGTTCAAGGTACTCTTGCTGTTTTGACTAAGTCCCTCTTGATCCCTCTCTCTACAAACTCGGACCCGAGGATAGGGGCTGGTCTTGTACCAGGCACCCAAGGACCCTTGGAGGTGACCCCGAGGAAAGGTTTTAAGTTTGATAAAGTCTTAATAGCTTGAGTTTATTAGGCCCTTACACCAACACCAAGAGTGAGTGCGTTACTTACCGATATGGTTGGTACCGAGACAAAGTGCGTTACTTACCCATATGGTTGGTACCCAGAGTAAGTGCGTTACTTATGTATATGGTTGGTACCCAGAGTAAGGGCGTTACTTACCCATATGGTTGGTACCGGGAGTAAGGACGTTACTTACCCATATGGTTGGTACCGAGAGAATGTGCGTTACTTACCCATATGATTGATACCGAGAGTAAGTACGTTTCTTACCCATAAGGTTGGTATCGAGAGTAAGTGGGTTTCCCGCCCATATAGTTGGTACCGAAAGTAAGTGCGTTACTTACCCATATGGTTGGTACCTAGAGTAAGTGCGCTACTTACCCATATGGTTGGTACCGAGAGAAACTACGTTACTTACCCATATGGTTGGTATCGAGGGTAAGTACGTTATTTAGCCATGTGGTTGGTACCATGAGTAAGTGCGTTACTTACCCATAAGGTTGGTATCGAGAGTAAGTGCGTTACTTACTCATATGGTTGGTACCGAGATAAAGCGGGTTTCCTGCCCATATGGTTGGTACCGAGAGTAAGTGCGTTACTTACCGATATGGTTGGTACCGAGAGTAAGTACGTTACTTACCCATATGGTTGGTACCCAGAGTAGGTGCGTTACTTACCCTTATGGTTGGTACCCAGAGTAAGTGCGTTACTTATCCATATGGTTGGTACCGAGAGTAAGTGCGTTACTTACCGATATGGTTGGTACCGAGAGTAACAGCGTTACTTACCCATATGGTTGGTACCCAGAGTAAGTGCGTTTTTTACCCATATGGTTGGTACCGAGAGTAAGGAGGTTAGTTACCCATATGGTTGATACCGAGAGTAAGTGTGTTTCTTAGCCATATGGTTGGTACCCAGAGTAAGTGCGTTACTTACTCATATGGTTGGTACCGAGAGTAAGGCATTACTTACCCATATGGTTGGTACCAAGAGAATGTGCGTTACTTACCCATATGGTTGATACCGAAAGTAAGTGCGTTTCTTAGACATATGGTTGGTACCGAGAGTAAGGAGGTTTTTTACCCATATGGTAGGTACCGAGAGATTGTGCGTTACTTACCCATATGGTTGGTACCCCGAGTAAGTGCGTTACTTACCCATATGGTTGGTACCGAGACTAAGTGCGTTACCTACCGATATGGTTGGTACCAAGAGAAAGTGAGTTACTTACCCATATGGTTGGTACCGAGAGTAAGTGCGTTTCTTAGCCATATGGTTGGTACCCAGAGTAAGTGCGTTACTTAGCCATATGGTTGGTACCATGAGTAAGTGCGTTACTTACCCATAAAGTTGGTATCGAGAGTAAGAGGGTTTCCTGCCCATATGGTTGGTACCGAAAGTAAGTGCGTTACTTACCCATATGGTTGGTACCAAGAGTAAGTGCGTTACTTACCGATATGGTTGGTACCGAGACAAAGTGCGTTACTTACCCATATGATTGGTACCCAGAGTAAGTGCGTTACTTATCTATATGGTTGGTACCCAGAGTAAGGGCGTTACTTACCCATATGGTTGGTACCGGGAGTAAGGACGTTACTTACCCATATGGTTGGTATTGAGAGAATGTGCGTTACTTACCCATATGATTGATACCGAGAGTAAGTACGTTTCTTAGCCATATGGTTGGTACCCAGAGTAAGTGCGTTACTTACCCATAAGGTTGGTACCGAGAGTAAGTACGTTACTCACCCATATGGTTGGTACCCAGAGTAAGTGCGTTACTTACCCATATGGTTGGTACCTAGAGTAAGTGCGTTACTTACCCATATGGTTGGTACCGAGAGTAAGGACGTTACTTACCCATATGGTTGGTACCGAGAGAAACTGCGTTACTTACCCATATGGTTGGTACCGAGGGTAAGTGCGTTACTTAGCCATATGGTTGGTACCATGAGTAACTGTGTTACTTACCCATAAGGTTGGTATCGAGAGTAAGTGCGTTACTTACTCATATGGTTGGTACCGAGATAAAGCGGGTTTCCTGCCCATATGGTTGGTACCGAGAGTAAGTGCGTTATTTACCCATATGGTTGTTACCGAGAGTAAGTGCGTTACTTACCGATATGGTTGGTACCCAGAGTAAGTGCGTTACTTACCCATAAGGTTGGTATCGAGAGTAAGTAGGTTTCCTGCCCATATGGTTGGTACCGAAAGTAAGTGCGTTACTTACCCATATGGTTGGTACCGAGAATAAGTACGTTACTTACCCATATGGTTGGTAACCAGAGTAAGTGGGTTACTTACCCATATGGTTGGTACCCAGAGTAAGTGCGTTACTTACCCATATGGTTGGTACCGAGACTAAGTGCGTTACCTACCGATATGGTTGGTACCGAGAGAATGTGCGTTACTTACCCATATGGTTGATACCGAGAGTAAGTGCGTTTCTTAGCCATATGGTTGGTACCTAGAGTAAGTGCGTTACTTACCCATATGGTTGGTACTGAGAGTAAGGACGTTACTTACCCATATGGTTGGTACCGAGAGAATGTGTGTTACTTACCCATATGGTTGATACCGAGAGTAAGTACGCTTCTTAGCCATATGGTTGGTACCCAGAGTAAGTGCGTTACTTACGCATATGGTTGGTCCCCAGAGTAAGTGCGTTACTTACCGATATGGTTGGTACCGAGAGTAAGTACATTACTTACCCATATGGTTGGTACCCAGAGTAAGTACGTTACTTACCCATATGGTTGGTACCCAGAGTAAGTGCGTTACTTACCTATATGGTTGGTACCGAGAGTAAGGACGTTACTTACCCATATGGTTGGTACCGAGAGAAAGTGCGTTACTTACCGATATGGTTGGTACCGAGAGAAACTGCGTTACTTACCCATATGGTTGGTACCGAGGGTAAGTGCGTTACTTAGACATATGGTTGGTACCATGAGTAAGTGCGTTACTTACTCATATGGTTGGTACCGAGAGTAAGCGGGTTTCCTGCCCATATGGTTGGTACCGAGAGTAAGTGCGTTACTTACCCATATGGTTGGTACCCAGAGTAAGTACGTTCTTTACCCATATGGTTGGTACCCAGAGTAAGTGCGTTACTTACCCATATGGTTGGTACCGAGAGTAAGGACGTTACTTACCCATATGGTTGGTACCGAGAAAATGTGCGTTACTTGCCCATATGGTTGATACCGAGAGTAATTGCCTTTCTTAGCCATATGGTTGGTACCCAGAGTAAGTGCGTTACTTACCCATATGGTTGGTACCCAGAGTAAGTGCGTTACTTATCCATATGGTTGGTACCGAGAGTAAGGACGTTACTTACTTATATAGTTGGTACCCTGAGTAAGTGCGTTACTTACCTATATGGTTGGTACCGAGAGTAAGGACGTTACCTACCCATATGGTTGGTACCGAGAGAAAGTGCGTTACTTACCCATATGGTTGGTACCGAGAGTAAGTGCGTTACTTACTCATATGGTTGGTACCATGAGTAAGTGCGTTACTTACCCATAAGGTTGGTATCGAGAGTAAGTGCGTTACTTACTCATATGGTTGGTACCGAGAGATTAAGCGGGTTTCCTGCCCATATGGTTGGTACCGAGAGTAAGTGCGTTACTTAGATATATGGTTGGTACCATGAGTAAGTGCATTACTTACCCATAAGGTTGGTATCGAGAGTAAGTGCGATACTTACTCATATGGTTGGTACTGAGAGTGAGCGGGTTTGCTGCCCATATGGTTGATACCGAGAGTAAGTGCATTACTTAGACATATGGTTGGTACCATGAGTAAGTGCGTTACTTATCCATATGGTTGGTACCCAGAGTAAGTGCGTTACTTACCCATATGGTTGGTACACAGGGTAAGTGCGTTACTTACCCATATGGTTGGTACCGAGAGTAAGGACGTTACTTACCCATATGGTTGGTACCGAGAGAATGTGCGTTACTTACCCATATGGTTGATACCGAGAATAAGTGCCTTTCTTAGCCATATGGTTGGTACCCAGAGTAAGTACGTTACTTACCCATATGGTTGGTACCAAGAGTAAGTGCGTTACTTAACCATATGGTTTGTACCCAGAGTAAGTGACGCACTTACTGATATGGTCGGTACCGAGAGTAAGTACGTTACTTACCCATATGGTTGGTACCTAGAGTAAGTACGTTACTTACCCATATGGTTGGCACCGAGATAAAGTGCGTTACTTACCAATATGGTTGGTACCGAGAGTAAGTACGTTACTGTTTATTCGTGTGCGAATGCATTTTCGTGTGAATCGTATGTTCGTGTGTTTGTTTGCTTTCGCAATTTTCGCTTGAAGCATTTGCAGGTACTCGCACAATGTGCGCTTCAGCATAACATTGTACGCGCTATGATCGGTACAAGCAGAAAGGACGAGCTCGCAAAGGAACCCAAGAGAGAAGCTTTGCGGTTCGGCTTACTTGATTGCGCAGATTCAGTTCTATCCAACTCGAAATTGTACTGTTTTGTTTGGTTCACTATAGTGTAGCAGGGCAGGCACTATAGGGGTACAATTTAGGTGAAGGTTGGATGTTGTTTGTCTGTATCTGCATGCTACAGAGCCAGGAGAAACCAGCGGAACCAGCATTTGGCTGGTTGGGCAAAGACAAAAACAGGTTCTGTTTTTACGACCTGAACCTGGTTGTTGTTTTCCCAGGTTGGAAAAACAGAACCAGAGGTTGTTTACCAACCTACCACCTGCTGTTTTGTCCAGCCAGGTTGGTTCTGTTGCTTGGAATTATTTGGGATCATCCTTGGTTGTTCCCATGTTTTATTCCCAAGGTCCTTGCTAGCTAGAACTATTTATTCATTCTCTGTTTGTACCTGAACATAGTGAAATTGATTCAAGCGAATTCCTTCCTTGCTGGAATTTCCTTTCTACACGGTGCAACGGTGGAATGGTACCCGAGTCAAAGCTAGTACACTAGCACTCCAACGCTAGGCTAACGCTGTCCGAGCCATAACTTCGTAATGGCAGAACGTTTCGCGAGGCAACTTGGCTTAGTTTAAAGCTCTTAGAGTGAGCTTCGATATAGGAAATTCTCAGCTTAATCCGATCGACGGTCTGCACGATACGCTGCGCGACGTTCAAGGTACTCTTGCTGTTTTGACTAAGTCCCTCTTGATCCTTCTCTCTACAAACTCGGACCCGAGGATAGGGGCTGGTCTTGTACCAGGCACCCAAGGAGCCTTGGAGGTGACCCTGAGGAGAGTTTTTAAGTTTGATAAAGTCTTAATAGCTTAAGTTTATTAGGCCCTTACACCTACAAGTACGTTACTTACCCATATGGTTGGTACCTAGAGTAAGTACGTTACTTACCGATATGGTTGGTACCGAGATAAAGTGCGTTACTTATCAATATGGTGGTACCGAGAGTAACGCACTTAGTCTGGGTACCAACCATACGGGTACTGCCCGTGCGCGCCGCCCGTGAGCGCCGCCTGTGAGCGCCGCCTGTGAGCGCCGCCCGTGAGCGCAGCCCGTCAGCCACCGCCCGTGAGTGCCGCCCGTGAGCGCGGGCGGTGGCAGAGGCGGTGGAGGCGGCGGGGGGAGTAGGGGTGGCAGTGGAGGTGGTGGCGGGAGCGGAGGTACTAGTGGTGGCGGTGGAGGCGGAGGTGGTGGCGAAGGTGGCGGTGGGAGCGGCGGGGGCGAGGGTGGCGGTGGCGGCGGTGGTGGCGGAGGCGGGGGTGGCGGTGGTGGAGGTGGTCGGAGTGGCTCGTCCCAGCGGAGCGGCACTGGAGGTAGTCAGCGCCAGCAGCAGCAGCAGCACCAGCGCTCTCGCGACGTCCCCACGCCTCAGCAGCTCCGTGAGTGGTACTCGCAGCGTCAGCGTGGTGGGGCGTTCGGTCCCTGCACCTACGTCCTTCGCACCGGCGACCGCGCGGGTGAGCAGTGTGGGGGTACCCACACCACCCGCCGCTGCTTTGCCCGCTTGACCGACGCTTGGCGCTAGCAGTTTCCGGAGGTCTCTGAGATCCCCCGCTGGGGAGAGCTGTCTAGGGCTGGTGTAGCTGTTTTTGATCTTGACTTTGATGCTATCCTTGCTGCCATGTATGCTGTGACTGTTAGTGATGAGGATGACTGTTACCGGTGTTTCCCGCCCGACCCGGGCATTGGTACTGTTGCTCTAGGTGCCAGTGAGGCTGCTGCTCTAGGTGCCAGTGCGTCTGTACTCTCAGGTACTGGTGAGTCTGCACTCTCAGGTACTGGGTCGGCTTCGGCCTCTTACTCCTTTACCCTGGACTCTGGGGCGTCTCGCTCCTTCTTTCGGGACCGCACCACTCTCTCGCCGCTTAGTCGGCCGGTTGCGGTGTCCCTGGCTGACCCCTCTAGGGGTCCTGTCCTGTCTCGTTTCTCTACAGTCCTCCCGTGTCCGGCGGCTCCCTCTGGCACCCTGTCTGGTCTGTACCTCCCCTCGTTCTCTACGAACCTGGTGAGTGGTGCTGACCTACAGGATGCGGGTGTCCACCAGTTTACTCCTGCTCGTCAGCGGGTGACACACTGCACAGAGGCTGGCACAGGTCGCCACCTGGCTACGTTTACACGTCAGCCAGGGTCGAGCCTGTACACACTGACCACTCCTTCTGCTCCAGGTGCTGAGTCTGGTAGAGTCCCTTCGTCTGGTCAGGTGTTTGCTGCAGCGTCCAGGTCTGGTCCTGAGTCTGCCCCCTGTTCGTGTCGCCGTCTGTCACACGAGACCCTCCTCTGGCACCACCGCCTTGGCCACCCCTCTCTGCTTCGGCTCAGAGGCATGGCCTCCCGTCTCCTTGTGTCTGGTCTCCCCCGGTCCCTCCCTCCCCTTCCTCAGGGCCCTGGCCCTGCCTGTGTCCCCTGTGTCGAGGGGCGCCAGCGTGCTGCCCCTCACTCCTCCCAGTTTCCTCCGACAGAGGCTCCGTTGCAGACGCTTCACATGGACGTGTGGGGCCCTGCCCGTGTCCGTGGACTCGGTCACGAGCACTACTTCCTGTTGGTGGTTGACGACTACTCGCGTTACACCTCAGTCTTCCCCTTGCGCAGCAAGCCCTTGCGCAGCAAGGGTGATGTCACTGAGGTGCTGATCGACTGGATCCGCGCAGCTCGTCTCCAGCTCAGGCAGAGCTTTGGCTCGGACTTTCCTGTGTTGCGTCTGCATTCGGACAGAGGCGGAGAGTTCTCCTCTGGCCTTCTGCGTGCCTTCTGTCGTGCGGGAGGCATCCGCCAGACCTTCACGCTTCCGGACTCACCGCAGCAAAATGGGATTGCAGAGCGCCGCATTGGCATGGTCATGGACGTCGCTCGTACGTCTATGATGCATGCGGCTGCCCCCCATTTTCTGTGGCCGTTTGCGGTCAGGTACGCGGCGCATCAGATCAACCTCCACCCCAGGGTCTCCAGGCCGGAGACCTCCCCAGCCCTGCTGTGGACGGGGAAGGTTGGCGATGCGTCGGCGTTCCGGGTCTGGGGATCTCGGGCGTTTGTTCGCGACTTGTCTGCGGACAAGCTGTCCCCTCGCGCTGCTCCCTGCGTCTTCCTGGGGTTCCCCCCCCGTCGCCCCTGGGTGGCAGTTCTACCACCCCACCTCTCGACGTGTTCTGTCCTCCCAGGACGTCACGTTCGACGAGTCGGTACCCTACTACCGCCTCTTCCCTTACCGCACTCCGTCCCTCCCCCCGCCCCCGCTCTTCTTTGTACCAGTTCCCCCCCCGGTCGACCCCCTCCCCCCTCAGGGTCCTGCCCCTTCAGGTGTGTCCCAGGTAGACGCGGTCGAGCCTGTCGAGGTCACTGGTGACTCTGGTGCTGCTGCGGGAGCTGAGCCTGGGGGTGCTGGGACTGGAGGTGCTGAGCCTGGGGGTGCTGAGTCTGGGGGTGCTGAGCCTGGGGGTGCTGAGCCTGGAGGTGCTTTGCCTGAGGGTGCTGAGCCTGGGGGTGCTGGGCCTGGGGGTGCCGCGACTGGAGGTGCTTTGCCTAGGGGTGCTGAGCCTGGAGGTTCTTCGTCTGGAGGTTCTCCGCCTGGAGGTGCTTCGTCTCGCCGAGAGCCACTCTCCCCACAGGAGCTGCGTGAGTGGTTTGCCCGGCGCTGGAGGCGTGCTGCTGGTGGTGGAGGTTCTTCGGCTGCAGAGGGTGCTGCTGCCACGTGTCCCGGAGGAGCTCGTGCTGTGGGTGCTGGAGCTGCTGGGCCTGAGGGTTCTCCTGGAGCTGGTGCTGCTGAGGGTGTTGGCGCTGAGACTACTGCTGGCGGTCCGACTGACAGTGCTCCTAGAGCTGCTGGGAGTTCTGGAGCTACTGGAGGTGCTGCTGGAGGTGCTGGTGGAGGTGCAGCTGGAGCGAGTACTCCTGCTGGGGGTACTGGTGCTGTCCTTGCTGTGTCTGGCGTCGTCGCGCGGCCCCGACCGTACTTCGTTCCGCTCCTGCAGCAGGTTCTTGGTCTTCCACCTTCTCCCTTAGAGGGTCCACCGCCGGTCCTGTCGCAGTCCCAGCTACAGCCTGCCTCCCCTTTGCCTGCTCCTTCTCCCTACACTGGTCCTACTAGAGGTCTTACTGAGCGTCGTGAGCCTGCGTCTCGTCCTGCGTCACCTGTTCGTCCTGCACGCACTAGTGGTCGCGGTTCGCGTCAGCGTCCTCCTCCTGTCCCTGGCACGCACCGGATGTCTCTGCGTCCGTCCACTGCTCCTCTGCGTGCCCCTTTGCCTTCTCCTCCTTCTTCCTCTCTTCCTGCTCTTGCCGACCCGGAGTCGGACTCTCTACGTGCTGCCAGTCCTACTGTCACACGTCTCCTTGCTACTGCTGCCACTCACCCTTCTTTCGAGTCTTCTGCTGCGTCTGCCCTTGTCACTGAGCTCGTCGACTTTGCTGCGCGCTGTCGTTTAGACTATGCTGCTAGTCTTGTCGCTGAGTCTGAGTCTGCCTGTCCTCCGTCCGTCGGGGGTGAGTGTGCCCTTGGCACGGACGTCCTTGAGGACAGGCAGGAGGAGTTCCTGTGTCTGGCCGCCGCTTCACCTCAGCTCGCGTCTGTACTGCTCGCCCCTGAGGGAGACCCGGATGCACTAGACATCCCGACTCCGCGCTCTTACGCGGAGGCGATAGAGGGTCCCTACTCCTCTCAATGGCAGGCAGCTATGGATGCAGAGATGGCTTCCTGGAAGTCCAAAGGCACCTACGTTAACGCTGTTTCCCCTCCTGGGGCGAACATAGTCAGTGGCATGTGGATTTTCAGGGTGAAGCGGCCGCCGGGTTCTCCCCCTGTCTTCAAGGCGCGTTAAGCGGCAGGGAGTTGACTACTTTCAGACCTTCTCCCCCACCCCGAAGATGACCACTCTTCGGGTACTGCTGCACGTTGCTGCTCACCGTGACTACGAGCTGCACTCTCTCGACTTCAGCACTGCTTTCTTGCAGGGCAGTCTGCACGAGGAGATCTGGCTGCGTCGCCCACCTGGCTTCACTGGGTCTTTCCCTCCTGGTACCCAGTGGAGTCTGCGGCGTCCAGTCAACGGTCTCCGCCAGGCACCATTTGAGTGGCACGACACACTGAGGACTACGCTAGCGGCACTTGGGTTTGCTCCTTCTACTGCCGACCCGTCGCTGTTTCTGCGCACCGACACCTCTCTGCCGCCGTTCTACATCCTCGTGTACGTCGACGACTTGGTCTTTGCCACAGCTGACACTGCTGGACTCGCCTACGTGAAGTCCGAGCTGCAGAAGAGACACACGTGCACTGACCTGGGTGAACTGCGCAGCTACCTTGGCTTGCAGATCACCCGGGACAGAGCACACCACACCATTACCCTGACTCAGTCACACATGGTGCAGCAGGTCCTTCAGCGCTTCGGCTTCACGTACTCCTCGCCTCAGGCCACTCCTCTGCCTACTCGCCACTCGCTCTCAGCTCTGCCTTCGGATGAGTCCGTAGAGTCGAGTGGCCCGTATCCAGAGCTTGTCGGCTGCCTCATGTACCAGATGACCTGCACACGACCTTACCTTGCATACCCTCTTAGCATTCTCGCACGCTATGTTGCTCCTGGGAGACACCGACCAGAGCACATGGCTGCAGCGAAGAGGGTATTGCGCTACTTGTGCAGTACGTCGGGCATGGGGCTAGTGCTTGGAGGGCGGAGTCCAATGGTCCTCACTGGGCACGCGGACGCTTCTTGGGCTGACGACCAGGCTACGCAGCGGTCGTCACAGGGTTACACCTTCAGCCTTGGTTCCGGCTCTGTTTCGTGGTGGGCTACCCGCTCGTCTTCTGTTCTCGGCTCCAGTTGTGAGGCTGAGATCTACGCCGGGGCTATGGATGCTCAGGAGCTTCGCTGGCTCACCTACCTGCTGACCGACCTTGGAGAGCCGCCTCGTTCTCCTCCAGTCCTGTACGTAGACAACAAGGCCATGCTGGCCTTGTGTCGAGAGCAGCGACTGGAGCACAGGACAAAGCACATTGCTCTCCGCTACTTTCTTGCTCGTGAGCTACAGCAGCGTGGACAGTTGCGACTTGCGTACGTGGCCTCTGAGGCCAACACTGCTGATGTCTTCACCAAGGCACTTGCGCCTTGTGATCATCAGCGTTGCTGCACGCAGCTGGGTCTTGTGCTTGTCTTGCCTCACTTGCTCACTTCTTGACCTTGTTTGTACCTTGACCTATATATACTCTTGCTCTTGCTTGCTTGACTCTTGTATATCTCTTTATATAATCTTGCTGTGAACTGGCCTTGTGGCCCTTGAACTTGTGCTCGGAATGTGTGGTGACTTTGTGATCCACCCTGAGCTTTGCTTTGCGTTGCTTGACTGGTCTTGTGACCCCTTGTTCTCCCCCACTTTGCCTATGGGGGTGTGTCAGAACATTATAGCTTACTTATTTGTGTAGGCTATAGTGGGGTATCCCATAGGGGGTACAACCCAATTAGGGTTTCCTATTTGTACTCACTTCATTCATAGTTCATTCATTCTCTCGTTCACTTCTTCTCAAAGACAATGTGCGTTACTTACCCATTTGGTTGATACCGAGAGTTAGTGCGTTTCTTAGCCATAGAGTTGGTACCCAGAGTAAGTGCGTTACTTACCCATATGGTTGGTACCCAGAGTAAGTGCGTTACTTACCAATATGGTTGGTACCGAGAGTAAGTACGTTACTTACCCATATGGTTGGTACCTAGAGTAAGTGCGTAACTTACCCTTATGGTTCGTACCTAAAGTAAGTGCGTTACTTACGTATATGGTTGGTACCGAGAGTAAGGACGTTACTTACCCATAAAGTTGGTACCGAGAGTAAGTGCGTTACTTACCCATATGGTTGGTACCGAGAGTAAATACGTTACTTACCCATATGGTTGGTACCGAGAGAATGTGCGTTACTTACCCATATGGTTGATACCGAGAGTAAGTGCGTTTCTTAGCCATATGGTTGGTACCCAGAGTAAGGACGTTACTTACCCATATGGTTGGTACCGAGAGTAAGGACGTTACTTACCCATATGGTTGGTACCGACAGTAAGTGCGTTACTTACCGATATGGTCGGTATCGAGAGTAAGTGTGTTACTTACCGATATGGTCGGTACCGAGAGTAAGTACGTTACTTACCTATATGATTGGTACCGAGAGTAAGTACGTTACTTACCCATTTGGTTGGTACCGAGATAAAGTGCGTTACTTACCAATATGGTTGGTACCGAGAGTAAGTACGTTACTTACCCATATGGTTGGTACCCAGAGTACGTGCGTTACTTACCCATATGGTTGGTACCGAGAGTAAGTGCGTTTCTTAGCCATATGGTTGGTACCCAGAGTAAGTGCGTTATGTTGGGTGCAAATTCACATTGCACGACATCCTGCCGTCTGTTTGTACGAGTATGCGTGTGCGAATGCATTTGCGTGTGAATGGTATGTTTGTGTGTTTGTTTGCTTTCGCAATTTTCGCTTGAAGCATTTGCAGGTACTCGCAAAATGTGCGCTTCGGCATAACATTGTACGCGCTATGAACAGTACAAGCAGAAAGGACGAGCTCGCAAAGGAACCCAAGATGGAAGCTTTGCGGTTCAACTTACTTGATTGCGCAGATTCAGTTCTATCCAACTCGAAATTGTACTGTTTTGTTTGGTTGACTATAGTGTAGCAGGGCAGGCACTATAGGGGTACAATTTAGGTGAAGGTTGGATGTTGTTTGTCTGTATCTGCATGCTACAGGGCCAGGGGAAACCAGCGGAACCAGCATTTGGCTGGTTGGGCAAAGACAAAACAGGTTCTGTTTTTAGGACCTGAACCTGGTTGTTGTTTTCCCAGGTTGGAAAAACAGAACCAGAGGTTGTTCACCAACCTATCACCTGCTATTTTGTCCAGCCATGTTGGTTCTGTTGCTTGGAATTATTTGGGATCATCCCTGGTTGTTCCCAGGTTGATTCCCAAGGTCCTTGCTAGCTAGAGCTATTTATTCCTTCTCTGTTTGTACCTGAATATAGTGAAATTGATTCAGGCGAATTCCTTCCTTGCTGGAATTTCGTTTCTACGCGGTGCGACGGCGGAATGCTACCCGAGTCAACGCTAGTACGCTAGCACTCCAACGCTAGGCTAACGCTGTCCGAGCCATAACTTCGTAATGGCAGAACTTTTCGCAAGGCAACTTGGCTTATTTTAAAGCTCTTAGAGTGAGCTTCGATATAGGAAATTCTCAGCTTAATCCGATCGACGGTCTGCACGATACGCTGCGCGACGTTCAAGGTACTCTTGCTGTTTTGACTAAGTCCCTCTTGATTCCTCTCTCTACAAACTCGGACCCGAGGATAGGGGCTGGTCTTGTACCAGGCACCCAAGGACCCTTGGAGGTGACCCCGAGGAGAGGTTTTAAGTGTGATAAAGTCTTAATAGCTTGAGTTTATTAGGCCCTTACACCAACAAGCTGGTATCAGAGCTGCGTTATAGTGATCCTCGATATAGGTAGCTATGGCGGGCAACACCTCGGCGGTAGCTGGTGAATCTTCAGCCCAAGATCGTAGCGGCAGCCATGATTCTGGTGTTTCTGCGCCAAGGGGAGCGCGAACAAGCCAGGGCTCGCTGATCAAGGAGGTGCTGAAAAACTTCACCGTCGAGAAGTTCAATGGTGAGGGCTATGATGATTGGGCCTGGAAAATGCAACTTTATTTCCGTCAAATCGGATTGCTGAAACTAATGATTGGGGAGGAGCCTAGACCGAGTGACCCCGCCCTTCAAGAAGATTGGGACGAGCGCGCCTCGGCTGGCTACTACTTGATGTCGCAGAGTTTGGAGCTGAACCAGCGTCACCACGTCATGCACCTGCTGCCGGAGGTTGAGTGCGGTCCGAAGGCGTGGACGGTGTTGAAGGAGCTGCACGCCCCGACCTCCGTTGTTGCAACATTGATGCTGGAGAGGGAGCTGTCCGCGTTGCGCCTGAGCGAGGGAGAGCCAGTGCAACCTGTCCTGGACAAATTGCGCGACCTCTACGCGAAGTTGGCGATCGCGGGAATCACCTACCCAGAGCAGACCAAGTGCCTGAAGATGCTCTCGCTGCTGCCGGAATCGTGGCTTCAATTCGCGAGCGGATTGAGCCTGCCGCAGAACCAGAGCTCGTGGACACTCGAGTGGGTGCGGACAAAGATTCTAGAGGAGGACTTCCGTCGCCGTCAACTGAGGGGTGGAGACGACGGCAGCAGCGGCTACGGGATGCAAGGGAGCCGACGTGGCAAAGGACGTGGCTTCGGTGGTGCTGGACGCGGTGCAAAGAAAGACGACGACTCCAACGACCAACAAGGAGGTACCGGTTGGGGTCGCGGTGCGAAATCTGGACGTGGGGGCAAGTCGGGTGCTGGTGGCAAAATGAAAGGGAGTTGCTGGTATTGTGAGAAGGAAGGGCACCCCTGGTTTTTGTGCTATAAGAAACCCGATGGATGGACCCCCCAGAATCGTCACCAGGATGGCGGCGCGCGGAGGAACCAGAAAAACGGCGCCAACATGGTCGCTGATTCGTCCGACAACAACCCAAAGGGCAACGGCGGTGCGGAGAAGAAGAAGGAGCGCACCGCGGGCCAATTCTTCCATATGGGAGACAAGGGGGAGCAAGGAGACGCATCTGCTAAGGCTAGAGCAGAGCTGCACCCCCTGGACTATTGGGTGTTGGACACAGGCGCTGCTTGGACAATGACGCCGCGCAAGGACCTGCTGGACGACGTACGCGCTGCACCGATTAATGAGGTGTGCTCTGCCTCTGGACACATGTTGAAGGTGGCTGGTGCGGGACGAGCTGCATTTAAGGGAGCGGAT